TGAGTAATCAGTTGATCACAGTCACTTGTGTCCTGTGCTCTGTTTGTCTCATTTAGTCTCACTCCTCACACCTGGTGCCCGGGTTATAAATACCCCTCTCTCCCTCACTCACTCCTTGTTGAGTCGTGGTTGTTGTGGATGACCCCTGTCCAGGTCTGTCACTCTGTTTCTGTCTGACTTCAGTGTGTTTTTGTTCTCACTGTTGTGTTGTGTGTTTTCCAGGTTTTCTTCCTGCTTTGTTTAACAAAATTCCAAAAAATCAAACGCGTGACACTCACCCAAAACCTGAGCAGAACCTGAAGAAGAGGAAGAAACCGTAGCTTTGGGCGAAGCAGGACAGTAAGGAGAAGATCAGGTCGATGGTCAGGACGTAGATGAGACATTTCCTCCTGCCCATCTTATCGCACAGACCCCCCCACACCAGGGCCCCCACCATCATGGCCACGTACACCAGCAGACCTGCACACACATACAGGAGAGGTTAAGACACTGTTCACTGACTGATGTGACGCGGTCAAACTCCTGAACTCATGCTGTGTAGACAGAAAAATATCACTGCCATTTGTCATGATGACTAGAGGGGAAGAGGACTCTGTTTGTCCACCAGGGGGCTCTGTTTACCTTCAAATGCACAGAGACGACCAGGGAAATCACTTGTTGAAAATTGTACTTCCCGGTGTAATCCTCAGCATTGCACGCTTGGAGAAACATTTCTGAATATTCATAATGAAACCCTCACAGCTCAATAACGGGTGATGTTTATTCACAGCAAAATTCATCCCTTCCTTTATTTCACCTGCAGATGTATTTTGCCATTTCTCATTGTTGTGGGGGCAAGAGGTGAGGTCATTAAAGTGAGTGACTGTGCTGCTGCCCCTAACTGCACTGAGGAGGTCATACAGACATACGTTGACTGAGGGGGGAGAGTAACGCTCCCTCTGTGTTTGTCTGTGTCAGGTCTGAGAGCTACAGCGCCGTGAACCGCTGCTGGTCGAGACCAAAAGGTCGGTCTTCCTGCCTCTCTCGTGTTTTTACTACACACACATCCCTAATTAAAGTGGGTTTAAACGGCTTAGCGGCACGTGGAGCCGTGGTGTGCGCCCTCCCCAGGGATTACCAGGCCTGTCCCTGTCCCTGTCCCTGTCGCACCGCACACGGCAGGCTGCCTGTCCGTGCTCTCATTCAACAAGCGATTGCTTTAGGCGAAGTCGAGGCCAACGTGTCACTTAGAATCTTCTCGCCCCAGGTAACACATCGGCCTCAGACGTGTACCTGGATGGGTGAGCTGGTGAGCAGCAATCCTGCAGAGAAGCCTGTAGTTTCAGACAGACCAAGGATGTAGAGCTGCCGCAGTCGAACGTCTGCCCAGGTGTCCTTGACTACGGCAAGGTCACTGAACGCATTCAGGGGAAAAATGCACATTTTCTTGTTCATAAAAGTTGGTTTAAAAATATAATGTACTTCAGTTCAAAGCCATTAGACACAGCTCCCAATGTTGTGTTTGTGTAACACCGAGGACACAGAGAACATTTTTAATGAAAAGACCTGATGAGCGGGCACAGCCTCAACACACCCCTACAGTGTTTTTTTTTTCTTTCTTTAAATTAATTTCCTGCCACGTCAGTCCTGTTATCTGTCACAGATTGACTGTGAAATCCGTGCTGATTTAATTTTCAGCATGTGCAGGAAAGAAGTAGGAAATTTCTCTCCTGAAGCAAAAGTAGTTTTAATGTAATCTCACTGGAGGGGTGAAAAAAAAAGTTTCTGGTAGACTGAAGTACAATCTGCTGGTGCAGAGTGTAGTGTAGTCAGATACTAAACAGTGAAGCATCGGACCAGAGGCACAGCATGGTTGTATTTTTACAGAGAAGAAAGAAATCTGCACAGTTCACTCGCAGCAGCATCAACGTCCTTCTTTAGCCGATGTTACTGACGTAACCATGAAGGGGGCAAGTTATTGTGACTCAAGGGATTTTGGTCATTTTGTTCATCATAGAAAGTGGGAAATTAACATAGTAACTGATAATTAAGGGTGTTGGACCAACACCCTGTGTAACAAAGTTTCAGGTTTGAACCGAAAGGCAGGAGGTCAACAGGTGTCAAACACAGACTGAATTTAAAATTTTGGAACAGGAAGGTAGACTGGTTGACTGTAGTAGACGAGGGGTGGAGTTAACAAGACAAGGGTGGGTTTGATTTTGGCTCCTCCCCCACCTGAGCCCCATCATCCAGCATCTTCCTCCTCAGTTTCCACCAAACCCTCTCAAACATTAATGAACAGCAGCCGTTTGTTTGACCTTTAGTCCCAGCTACAGAAGGGCTGCAGTTTGGGAACAATTAGGGCACAACACTGTCCCCTCCAGCAGGTGGCGCCCTAGGTGATCACATATGTGGCCTATGCCAAGGAGTTGACTCTGGGTGAAGGACGCACACAAAGGGACAGGAAGTGGAGTCTATGGCAGCACATGTATTAGTGCACCTGGATGTGTGTGTGTTCACCACAGGAGCACGGATCAAGTGATAGTCAATTGATTCCTGTCTGGAATCAAAGAATCTACAGCTAAGGTCAACGAAGAATCTCGTCTCATCTGTGAAGGGAAATATGTTATAAAGCAACTGAAGCAAAGAAAGAACGTCTGAAGGACTTTTTTTTTATACATATAAAACATGTTGACATGCGGTGGTTGACACTGGGTCCTTTTTTTCTTCAAACATACTCTGATAAGTCAAGTATTCAGTAATGAGTAGAAATCACCTTTTAAATGTCGTTCACGATGGTGGGATCAGTGGATCAAATACATTGATGTATTTGTGAATTGAGTCTTTGTCGTTCACGATGGTGGGATCAGTGGATTAAATACAGTGATGTGTGAATTGAGGGTTCCAGCAGTCAGATTTCCCACTGTGTGTGTCTATAGTAAAACAAAAAAAATATTCAACATCTACTTGTCACTGAGTCCGCATGATGGGTACAGTGGTTTGTGCTCTTGCCTTACAGAGAGATTATTGTTTTGCTAGTTCAGTCCCTGGTCTTTCTGGATGGAGAGTTTGTAAGTTTTCACTGTGTGTCTGTAGATTTCTATGGTAGTGGAAAAAAAAACCTGTAGATTTTGTCAAATGTTAAACTGAATGAGGGTGTGTTTGTCTCTAAAGGTAAGTGTCTCTGTGATGGACGGGCTGTCTGTCCAGGGTGAACCTGTCCTCACCCGTGACTGCTGGGCCTGGCTCAGAGTACAGTTTAAAGCAAGTGTGATAAAAGGGACTGTGTTCCTGACTAAAGGAGTGTCAGCTTCAAAGGGTGCATTTACTGCAGTCGTAGAGGATTTACACCTGACCAAACACTTCAGTGTCTTTCCATTTTAACTCTAATGTATTTCCTTCATAGTAAAGGCCTCCAACAGTCGAAGCCAAAGCCATTTTCTCTGTTATGCAAAATTGAGCCCATTTTTTTTTTATTGTTGTTTTTTCCCCCCCGTATCTGGTTAACAGAGCACGGCTCTGAATCAAACAGCCAGATCTGCTTCATATTCTCGGCCAACGATCTGTGCTCCCCTCTTGCTTTTGCACAAACAAACTCTGTGATTTCATTTTCAACAGGCCTTCCTCCCGCTACCGCAGCCTGTCAGAAACCTGAAGAGCATCTGACAGCTCTGCAGCGGTCACCGCAGGTCGCCGAGCTCGCTGACTGCTAACATGCTCCACATTAGCCCTGGAACGCGCTCTGAATTCCAAACCATCACCAGCCTCCTCATCTCTTGCAACGCCATCATCCCAGGAGTGTGTTGTTAAGATGAAATGAGCGATGTGCAATCTGCCACTTCACAAGGCTCCGCAGAAGGAGTGGGAAATAAGGTGAGGGGCTTTATTTTCAGTTTGGATCCGTGAGCAGGGAGTAGGGAACAGATCTTTTAGAGTCGTGCCAATGCTTTGTACAGACGTCCTCTTTTTCTTCTTTCTTTTTTTTTTTGCTCTCTTTACCTTTCTGGAACAAGCTGTTCTTCGAGAGGAGGAAACCAAATAAATCTGAGATGAAATATTCTAATTAATGCACAACAGTATAAAAATAAAAAAACAGTCTGATAAAACCTAACCCTGAACATGTGGCGCGGTGTCCCACAAGTCACTTTTGAGACATATGTAGCCAATCTTAGAGCTAAATGATGCTAACCCGATGTCTCTCAGAGGAGGCGTTCTCTGTTAGGACACAGTGGTTATATTCTTTTATTTACGCATTGGCAAAAAACATGATCCAAGCCTTGTTTTCCCTAATTCATACCAGTGACTGGGGGATATTTCTGCATGAATCAGTGGTCTGAAACCATTTTCCATCAAGAGCCAAACACAAGCAGGCTGTGTTCCTGCCAAGTACAATGGCAGATTACTTCAATGAGTTCCTCTTCCCTGGGTAAAGATTGGAAGTCTTTGACAGATGATCACAATTATCCAGTCCAGGTTTCCAAAACACTGTTCATCTCCTGTTGGAGAAATTTGTTTGCTGGAGCCATTTTTAACCTCCCAATGTGCACCGCTCTAACAGCGTGGGTCTATCAATAGGTCCACCTTTGTTCCAGACTGAAATATCTCAGCAAGTGTGCGATTGGTTTCTGTTTGCTCCCAGCACCATCATCAGCTAAGGTCAATTTTAATTTGGCCACTGCTCAGGTTTAGGACCACACGAATGCCTTTTTCATTATCCTCCGTTGCCCCACCGTCCTCGGCATAATGATTTTTACAAGAACTATGTTTTCGATTTACGGTTATGACATTTGGACGGAGATACACAACCTCACATCTGAGGCATCACATATCTCACCTTCCTGTTGCTCTCTCACTTACCCAGCAATCCCTTGTCCGCGTTGGATATGCACATGTCCTTCTCAGCGCTCGGCAGGACGAAGCCGACCACGAAGCCGTCCACTCCGTCGGCCATCAGGGCCAGGCCCAGAACAAAGAACAGCATCCACTGGAAGCGGCCGTGCCCGCAGTCCTCCATGATGGCCTCGTATTGTTCTGGTAAATTTTCCTCCTCCTCCTCCTGCGGGGCGGCCTGACGGGCTTTCCTCCTGGCCTCTCTCCGAGCTGCCCGTCGCGCCTCCTTGATCTCGTCCGGGTGCGGGATGCCCTGGTACTCGCCCTCATACATCTGATCGTCGTCATCTGCTCCCTCAGTGGCATCACTTGCTGCGTCCTCCTCCTGCGGAGGGTAGTCTGCTTGGTAGGGGTAGCCATGTTGACCTCGTCCATCTTGGGTGTTGGTGTACTCTCCTCCCCCAGTCACCTGCTGGGTCACATTGTTGTGGTAGGGGTCCTCCATGGTTGCTGTGCGTCAGGAGAGCAGGACTGTATTTGCCTCGAGGCCGTGGTTCACTGGTCAAACTCAGATCTGCAGCTACATGGACATAATCCTCCCCAGGAGCTGTCAGTGTGGACCAGGTGGACACAGGGAGCTGCTGGTTTTCCGTCACTGGTTTAAGGCCTCGGTGGCTGAGCTGAATTATCTTCCTTGATGTGAAGCGATTTGTGCTGCATGCCTAATCCTCACCAGGAGTAGAACCTAAAACACAAGTGTTTGATAAAGTACTGAATGCACAAGACAAATAAACTGCTGGTTTATTCAAATGTCATCACCATAAGTCATAAATGGAGACATTAAAAGTAAAGACCAGGAAGTGATGACGCAGTAGACAAGGGTTGAGGGTTTGACTAAACTATAGTTTGTATTTTTTATTTTACATTTTTCTTTATCATGTCACAAAGACACTGAACCACTCAGTGTGGTTGAGGCTGGTCTATACCGGTTTGGAGCTCGGAAGATAAAACAAGTAATTTAATCCAGATTAAGAGGGCAGTTTTTTTTTTCCGTTTTTTTTTTTTCATTCTACTCTTGTGTAACATTTTATGCTTCATCACGAAACTTTGAGTGGAAGCTGATGGCAGCCGTGGATTACTGTATCTGAACAATGGAGCGTCTCTGCTCCTCCTGCAAACGCAGTATCTGAAATCCCCTCTCCAGTCTGGAAATGCATGCACGGAACTCTTTTGTTGCCGAAGGGGGGGAATGAAAGGAATTGCAATGCAGTAATATGATTTGTTTATTTATTTATTTATTTTTACCTCATTTGTTGTTTTCCCCCTCAGTAATGTGAATAATACATGAAAGATTCAGGAAAAAATCTGAGAGGATGGATGTTGTGTGTGAGTGAGAGAAACGCTGCTGCTTCCATCATCCTGAAGCTGAAGCTCCTGCACTCACACCACAACATCTGGTGCTTACGTAACGCTCGGACAGAAGGACGCTCGTTCCTCTCCCCGCTCCTCTGACGTATTGATCTGTGACACTATTTCTACATGTTTCTACCTGACCGTCCTGTCGCCTCACGGGCGTGCACACACACTGACAGAGATGTCAAGTCAAGCCGCACACCTCTGTGAAGAGTGAATAGGTCATCATCTCTGTGTCTGAGTGTTAGAAGTCAAAGAGCTCCTCACGAAAAAATCAATGTGTGTCTGAGAATTTAACAGGAAGCAGAGAGGTCGCCGTGTAATTTACAGGAAGCAGTTTCAATCTGGAGAGTGACCTTTCACTGTTCACTTCGTTCATTAGTCCGACGGAGCCCCACTCTGTCAGGCTTCGGTGGTTTCTCTAACTCATTTCTGCAGAAACACACTCATTCCACAGTAAAGATGTGATAACAGACTGTGACGGAGCATAAACGCGATGGAGTTTCTGTGGCTTTGGCAAAAAACACGTGTGTTATTATTTTACCTTGGATTAAAAAACAAACAAACTGATTTTAACCTAAAGGGGACATATTACAAAAATAAAAATTTACCTTGGATTAAAAAACAAACAAACTGTATTACAAAAATAAAAATAAAATATTTTCTAATGGTTCAGCCAAAAAAACCCTATAGATTTTACCTTTAAATGGTACTGCAGGCCTTAGCATAGCTTCAGCTAACCATAGAAATAGTTTTCTTAGATACTGACACACGTGTTCATTTCAGTGGGTTTTGTTGTTGTTGTTTTGTTCATACAGACTACAGCAGTGTTTGCCAATGTTTTCTGGCAGTTTTGGTCAAACCAGCAGAACACCAGTTTTCTGGCAGTTTTGGTCAAACCAGCAAAACACCAGACAACAAACTGCCATTTTCATTTAGCGCTGTTAGCTTAATTAGCAACTGTGCTTAGCTTTTGGGTTGTACATGAACACAAAAGTCATGGTAGTATGAATGGTACCACCTTAAACTCATTTCACTGAACAAATGTTGGCCTGGTGACTCCAAAAGTCCTCATTTATAATTTTAACGTAAACTTTTTTCACTACTTTTGAGCAAGGTGGTTCAAGCTAACTTGAGGAAAAAAAAGAAGCTAATTCATTCATTCAAGTTCTTTTTGTATATTTTTCCATTCATTCAGTCATTTCCTTACATGTGGGATTCACAAAATATATCGCCCACTTCCTCTGAGGTCTAAAATTAAATCTGCATTTACTGCACTTCGTGGTTTTGTGCATGTGTGTGTATTTTTGGTAATGTTTCCAGGGGACGACACCTGCACAGTTTACATCAGGTTACTTTTACTATTTATATTTTTTATTTCTTGCCTCTTTACATTCATAGTGAACCAGCACTTTTGGTGGAATAACAGTCAAGTCAGTAAGTAACAACAAATACATGGTTATTAGTGACTATTGTATTGTAATGCATCCAAGACTTAACATAGTATTTCGTCAACGTTCTGATGAAGAGTAATTCATTTCCCTTTTAATTTTTTCTTGTTGCTGCGACTTAATCTGTGCATTTGTTGAAATAATGCCTTTCTTGTAAAGCAGTGGTTTGGATTTAATCTAAGCTCTTTTGTCGTCTCTGTCCATCTATTCTGGCCACAACCAGATCAGTCACACGTTGTTCTCATCGCAGCGCCCGAGCATGTATAAAAACGTTGTTTACTATTTAGTACCGATTCTGAAAATAATCCTTATGCAAAGGCTGTAGAACATAGAAAAAGTGAAAAATAAAAGAACATTCCCAAGAATCTGTTATACAGTAATAAAGGTTGAGGATAATTTGTCAGCGATCCACAGGTCTGTATATATTAACGGTGATGTTCTATGTTAAAGGCTAAATTTTTTTTTCAAGTTCCGACTAATCTTTTTTTTCTTTCTTTCTTTCTATTTGTTATATTAAATACAAAAACAAACAACATAACAAGAATCAAGAAAGTGTCTTACCTGAGCGGTCATCCCAGAGATCAGAAATATATTTCAAATCTTAACCAAACAACCATAAAACTATAAAAAAAACAAAAATATGTTAATGTCCCGGCAGCATTTAACAAACGTCCAAATCCTACATGTCACTTTATCCCGAGGCCGTGCTGCAGCCAAGCCTGAGGCCCCCCTCCCCCACTGCAGCTCATCCCTGTAGGAAACTCCCGGAAGTGACCCGTTCCCCACATCTGGTACAGGGTGGTACAGTCCTGCAGATTTAAATAGCAACAGGCTTCACCGTCATTCAAGTGTGTGTTGTGTCTGTTCTCTGCAGAACTAGTACGATTCCCTTTGCATGCACCTCCCAGTCCTGCCCGGCAGGTGGTGCTAAGTTTGAATTTGGAATCTTTTTTAAATCAATAAATCAATTTAATTTTTTTAATAACACGCAGGACATTAATGTTTAGATGCTCTGCCTGGGCCTGTACTGTATATAGTGTTGACATATTTGGAAACTTCCACACAGTTTGGTGGAGTATAATGACATATTTAAACTATGACTATGTCCTGAGTGCTTCCTGTCATTTGACCTCAACACGCAGTAGTTTCTGCTCCTACATCCTGAGCCACTCAACCCCAAAAAAAGCTTGTAAAAACATAAAATAAAATAAAAACATCTCTCAAGGCCACCGCAGAGGAAGGCTGTGATATTTGTATGAGAAAATGAGATTTTAAACGTGTCTAAGTGGCACCTGCCGGAGACCGATAATCACAAGTGTCCTTCACCGCACATCAGAGCAGTGGTTTATATTCAGAAGATATATAGAATCTGGAGGAGATGACAGAGCAGGAGGTGCTGGAATGTATGGTAGATTCATGTCAGGCTCCCACTTATGATGGTGGTTTGGAAAAAACTTGTCTATCTATCTATGGATCTATCTATTTATCTATCATCCATCCATTAATCCATCCATCCATCCATCCATCCATCCGTCCAACCGTCTTTTGCCCGGTACTCTTAAATATATTGAATGCTAAATAAGCTTTTGTAGCGAGTATAACCTGTTGAAGAGTAGTTTTTAATTATTCTAACAGCACTATTTATACTATTTTACAATAGCGTTGAAGAGTAGTTTTTAATTATTCTAATTACTTTACAATAGTACACGTACACAAGTATTCCAGATTTGACTCTAAAATGATCAAAACTGCCCTGTTTCATATCATAATCACGTAGTCACGTCAATTAAAGGGACATTTCAGTCAGTACAAGTATAACAACAATCAATTGTTTATCAATTCTTTATTAACTGCAGCGACCCCGTCTGCTGTCTCACCCATGCACCCCCGCCCCCACCCTATAGATGGTACAGTCTGCTACAGGACATCATTATAGAGAGTAGATGTCTTGCATAGAGGCAAAGCTCTCTAATCCCAAGGCCAGATAATTTGAGTGCAAAGAGGATTAGCTCCACCCCAGCAGAGCCATTGGCTAAATTTAGCCCCACATTTTCTGTCTTCACCAGTGTCCCTTCTTCTGCACCATGCTTGACATTCTTTCACCCAGTCATCCAGGCGCACTTTCCTCCAAGTATACGCTGCACTTCTTTATTATGCCATCATGACATTCTCGGAGCCTTCAGCCAAATAATCCAGCGCCGGGGCCCAACAGTCAGACGCCGTCTTTCTGTCAGTGTTCACGCCGTGATATGCTGTTAAGTCACAAAATGAGGCCATCTGTGTGTAACTGTGTGGATTTTCAGTGTCCCAGAGAGGAGAAGTTGTGGCTGTAACTTCCTGATGCCTCTGCAGAGGCTCATCCTCTGGCAAACACACTGGGATTACAGTTGATGATGCCTGCTCACACAATCCCCTCTGATGGCAATAAACTGCATCACAGAGACGTCTCGTGCAAGCATCCAGGAAATTAACAGCCTCCACGGGGAGGATTCTGTGAAAGAGTGATAAACTCACTCCCTGCTTCCTTTTTGTTCTTGGTTCAACTTGAAACCACTGTCCGCCTCTTAGCTTTACTGTTTGCCTCCAGTGGATTTTATGATATTTTAGGGTCGCGTTAATATTTGTGTCTGTCTTGTTGTTTGGTTTCGGGCTCTTTTACGTCCGTCTTGAAACTGCTACTGACGATCGGGGATTTACAGCATATTCTATAGCGGGGGACGTATACATTGTACAATTGTTATTATGGTTGCGTTGACTTTGATTAAAAAAAGGAGCTTAAAGGTTCCTTTTTACTTCTTTCCTCTTAGATAATAAAACTTGATAAACGTGAGCGTTTTGTATTTTCAGCTATATTTGTCCTAAAATAATTTTTTTATTAGCCTCTGGGGGACTTTTTATCGCCAACTCATCTTTTGGTTCTGTTAGTTTTTCTTGTTTTTTTTTTAGTGCTTCATTCTTCGCAAGTGGGAGGAAAAGATAACAAGAGAAGGGAGAGAGATGGAAACAAAAGCCTGCAGATAAAATAGTCTCTCAGTCTGCTGGGCCACAGGGTTGCATGTATGGATTATTTTTAGGTGAATGCGATTAGTTCACCGTGATCCAAAAATGGTCTTACAACCAAAGAACTGTGAATAAATGACATTACGTGTTGGATTATAACCATGATGTGTGCATATATAATGACATTAGAAGAAAAAACACTGACGCTCAGAGAAGATGGTGCTTTGGTTAGCTGTGTACAGTGTCCCTTCACTACTTCACTCCTGTTTGATTCTATTTAAAGAGCAGAGATCTGGCTAAGGTAATCTGCTGGGCTTTGGTGAATGGAGTGGAAGAGTGGAAGTGACTTTGGTCCAACAGTAGATTCAAAACACTGGGTTAGTTTGGCATAAATATGAAATGAATATGCAGAGGCATGCACTGAGAGAGAGAGAGAGAAAGAGAGAAAGAGAGAGAGAGAGATTAAGTGAAGAGAGGGCTTGCCAGAGATGAGTTGGATTTATTGCCCTGCGGAACCAGAGACACTGACCTCCTGTGGACATGGGAGGGACAGTGATTCTTTTACCCTTGAATCTAATAATTAGAACATTTAAACAGTTGTCAGTGTTCTTTAAAACAAATGAATGAGAGGTTTAATCTCAAGTGGTAGCTAATGGTAAACGCTATTAAATTTATCATATCTTATTCACTGATTGCATGTTTATTTTGCTGCTGAAATGACAACATCTAGATAAAAAAAATATCTTTGTTTTAAATTTACAGTCGCTCATTGACCTGGAATTGTCATAATTTATGTGGAACTGAAAAAAAAACAACAACAAGAAAATCCTCACAAGCCAAAAACGTCTGGCCAGAAATATAAAAGCTTGGGAAGCTTTAACCGACTCTCTGATGGAGTGTTCAGGAGGCTGACACTTCAGTCAGATGATATACCTCTGGCTCTTTTCTTCTAACTCTCTGACAACAAGAGTGTTTCTGTCTAATTCCAAATGTTTACCCTGGCTGAGGTTTTCCTTCGCTATCACTTCTA